GGCTGGATGAAATGTTATTGGATACCTGTCATTGTGAATAGGTTGCTAATTTATACCCCTGTAATTATGTTGTGATGTCCTTTTTGTTTTCTGTTGTTTTTATGTGTAACTAATGTACCGCAGGTCTCCCTTGAAAAAGAGATCGTTGATCTCAATGGGATTTTTCACCTGGTTAAATAAAGGCTACAAACAATATTGAAAGGTATTATACTCTCCTGTTTGCTGGTCGTCAGATGGAGCATCAGTCTGTGTCCAACCATCAATGGTGGAAAGTCACCGAGTACATTTTAAAGTACTTGTATTTTACTAGTTGTTCCATACTCTGTAGTTCTACTCCACTACATTCAAAGAAGAAATAATGATTTTGTGTGTTAAAAGCATTTATTAAACAATAAAAGTAGTTATTTTTCATCTGAACAATTACAAAATATATGTATAACTTTTAACATAATGCAATGTTTCCAAACCACTAGAATAACTGTTTGAGATACAAAAAAGTAAACTTCCAATATATTACAAAAAGCAAGGAAAAATATATATATAATTAGTGTATCAGCATTTTGTTGGTCAAAATGCTTTTGATGCAACAATAATAAAATTGAACAATATTAACAATCAATGTCGAATGTATAATAATATAGGGGACATTTTGCAGCAGAATGAGCAGCTTTTGTTTAAGAAATATTTGTCTTCTACGTAACATTAATGTATCGGTACTTTTACCTTAGTAAAGATTCTGAATCATTTTTCCTCCTCTGACAGGGTGGAGGAGCAGCCCTCTTCATTATACCTTCACATGTGTCCCGCATGGCAACATGTGGCTGGGTGCGGTCTCAGAACCTTTGTTACTTTCATGTAAATGTGTGGACTCTGCCAGCCGGCCTTGAATCCACTCATAATTGCTTAAACATGTCACATTAAAGAGATTATTATCTCCTGCTCCAGCTGATGGGATCGGCATGTTGTTCATTATTACTGCAATTAATGAATCCAATGCTGATAACACTTTGAGGATCTAACAAAGAACACATGAGCAAAAACAAGTTAAGATATTCCTTTCTTTCCTCAGTGCAGGAGTTCTGGAGTCTTCACAGTGCAGTTTGAGATGTTTTCTTCTGTTTTGCTTTGAAGGCTTTTTAATCCCTCCACATCCTCGGGTTCAGCCGACCCAGCCTAACGTATTCTCTCTTTGTGTTCGATCACTCCTTTTTCTTTTCTCTGATGCTCGACAGCTGGCTGCTCTTTCCCTCTTTTCCTGTGTGGTTCTGTGTCTGCTCCTCCCCCATCCCCTGAACACACACTGTTTTTCATTGTTAGAGATGACAGCAATGATAACAATGCAAAGAACCACAACTCACAGGCCGACCATGAGAAACACACAGAGACTTCCTTCAGGTGAACCAATGAACATGACCTAAAGAGACATACACATGTGACTTCCCTAAACTATTCAGTGTTTTTGAATGTTTGTGTAAATGATCTTGTTATCAACAGATGTTAATATAAAGGCTGATTTCACATTTCGTTTTTTGGTGTGATTCTGACTCACGTTCCGTGTTCTAAAAATGTCATTTCCCTTTTTGAATCTGAGTTCCTCCGACACTTGACTTGAAGCTGCAGAGGAAGTAGGTGACGTTTGCATATCATTATACCTTCTACGGATGCTTATATGTCACTCCTGTTTCTCCGCCTCTCCCTCCGCCTCTCTCTCTCTGCTGGTGCAGAATAACAGGCCTAACTCTGCCTGTGGCCTTTCACAAGGTAGACAACCTCCAACAACCCACCTGCTGGTGACCTTTCTCTGTTGTTACTTACAACCTGGCTTTATGCTCAGTGAGGCTGGGACTAGCATGCTGTTATCTCACTTTTCAGAAAATATTCAACAAAGGCCCAAAATACTTATTGTTGCATCAAACTGCAGTTTCTCCACCAAATAGGCCTGTAAGACAAAATAAAGAGCAGTAAAAAACAGTCTTTAAAAAGTTATAAAACATAATCCAACAAAAGTCAATTTTTTTGGAATACGAAATATAGTTGAGATGTCAAGAAAATACAGCCAAAATCTGTTGAAAAAATGCAAATTTTTACTTATTTTCTTCCATTAGAACGTTCTTTAAGATTTAGAGTTTGGCTATCAAACATAGTGTTTATTTTCAGTTCACCTGTTTGAATATGAGGCACCTTTGTTGAGAGTAAAATGTATAATATGACATTAAATTAACCCATATGGGCTCTAATAATACAGTTAGTTTCAGGACTTTTACAAACGTGTCAAAATTAACAAAAATCTTTCAACAAATACATATGTCTTGCTTAGGAAGTGGGAGCTGTGTTCCTAAAGACATGAATAAAAACGAAATCAAACATATAACCAACAAAATCTAGCTGTAAAGAGGATTTTTTGTTACTTTCTTCAAAAATCGTTTTATTTAGGTTTTCTCTCAGTAGGAAGGCCAATGGCCTCGATGTAGTGATGCAGATAACAGCTAACCCAGCAACAAAACGAACCAAACCGCTTTTGTTCTCTAAATATTTATTTAAATTAAATGTGTTCATATAATAGCCAAAACTAAAAAGAAAGTCTGTTGTCCCGATGCCTATTTTTATTTCCTCCCAGCTCAGAGCCTGCATATTGTCTGTGTGCCAGTGTAATATGGGTACAATCTGCTCTTATTATAATATTTGATTTAGCAGCCTTTCAGGGCACCTTCAAATTCTACCTAAAAGGTTAAAAGCAGCAAAAATGACAAAAACACAAGGGCAGCAGGATGGCTTACTTAGTAGTTAAAAGATATATGTGGCATTTTTGGGACAAAGAAACAATAATTTCCGTATAAAACATTTAGGCTCCAAACATTAAAACTAAATACTATTTACACGTGTGGTTGATAGGAGAGCTAGCCAAAGGTCTGTGTGTCTGTGAGCTGGGACCCCCTGTGACGTAGAAGTGGAGGACAGCTCCACCCATCCACCTTATCAACCTGCTGCAGCCCCTCCTGTCAGCTGTGTGAGACCTGATCCCCCCCACCCCGCCAGCACAGAGTGGTCTGTCTCAGATAGACTTTCTCCACCTTCTATCAGAAATGAACCACGACCAACAGCTTAATGCTTGCATCATTTGTAAAGGAATTGATCATACTATCTGTCAGTGAGCGTCATCATCTCAGGCCACATGTTGTGTATCATTTTTGTATTTGGAGCAATAATCATATAGATTATATGGCCTTAGAGTTAGATTTTAATCAACCTCCAATGTAATTGGATGATGCTGTGCTGTCATTTATGTCTGACTCATGTTCATATATTACCAAGTTGTTGTTGCCCATGAAGCAAACAGGATCTATTTTGTGCCTCATGAGACCCAGACTCATGACACCTGCTAATAACATTACCTTTTCTCTATGCGCGGTGATATTGCCTCGTCATGCGAAGAAGCTTTCAAATGAAATATAAGCATGTCCAGAACTACACATTTCCTCATATGACAGGCCGATATATCACATAAGAAACATGTAATATGAGTTGAAATAGTTTTCTCATATTGCCCAGTGAATGTACATTATGAAAAGGGGGATGAGGCTCAGGGGGATAATTGGTGTCAAACAATCAGAGGGTCAGTGGTTCAATCCCCAGCCCCTTAAGTTGACATATTGAAGTATATCGTAAATAATATATTTGTACTACTATTTTAGCATCAGTAGTAGTAGTGTTTGTGTCCCGGAGGTTTCCCTGAGCTGTTTATAGCCATCTCTGCTGATGTAAACCGCCCATCTGTTTTAGACAAAACACATAAAAACACACACATAGTCATTTCCCACCACGGCAGGCCCTGAAGAAGGGACTGCTGGGTATTCTGGTGGCAGGGAAATCCACTCCAGATGTGAACAAATTGTCCCTTGCACTAATTACTATTGTTGTTCACTGATGCTGATTTTAGATGCCTTAGGTTTTTCGCACTGGGGCTGAAAGTGCTGCCAGGATGTGTGTGTGTGTGTGTCCACAATGAAACATCCCCTGTTGATTACTTCCATTGGCGAATTATTCCTTTTGTGTTTCCTAAATTCTTCTGGTAAATATCCACATTAGGCATTATGTTATAAAAATGTGCTGACTTGTAGAAATGTCAATATTGGATAAAGCCAGGTTAAAGTTCTTGTTTTATTTTCTTGACAGAGGACATTTGAGATGTGTCTTTACATCAGATACTGTCGACAGCCATAAACCAATATTCATCATGTCTCTAATAAAACGCTCTTTAAATCAGACTTTGAATGATTTAGGAAAACCCTCTCTAAACATATTTGGAAAATGGATATGAAAATGAAGAGTTTGATGTGTAAGAAAGAGAGAGAAAACTATATATGTAATTTAAAATTCAAAAGGTGAATAGGGTAAACATTTCTAACGGATATCACCACGAAAGATCCCCTATTGATAACTTATTAAGAAAGTTGTTTTTTGCATTACAGTCATTCTGAAAAGTTGTTTATATCTGCAAATAAGGTCTTATCGAATGCAAACTGTTGGTCACTTGAGGAATCATTTACAATAGCATGTGGAAAATGAATGAATGAAAATAAACATTGGAATGTGTTTTTTGGATGTTTCCTCTTACAGAAAGTAGATAAAGAGGCGAAAATGTCCAAATTAACTTGATGATATAATATAATTACCCAAAAGGGTAAAATACATAAAATAGTGCAATAGATAAATGGTTCACTAGTTCTAGGGATGTGACTGTAAAGCCACCATAGACACATGTTTGTGCTCATGTCTGATGAAGCTTCCTTTAAGGAGCCCATGGTTCCTTCTGTCCTGTCATCAGAAGCTCTGATCGTCCCTACACACATCTAATCGGGGCGGGGGGGGATGCTGCTGTGTTTACTGTCTGCAGAGATGAGAGGCACAGACAGACAGAGAGGAATCACAGCAAGTATATGTGGCATTCATAAGATAGTTAAAAATCACTCCAAACTCTAAATAACAGACCACCACGCAACTGCAATCAACCACCACACTGTAATCCAAATAAACAAACAATGGCATAATGAAAGAAGTCTTCGTCCTTATACGCTGGGAACGCTCCTCATCCTCATCCATCTCTCTGCTGCTCTATCATCTATTCCTGTGTCTCCGCATCATCACGTGAAAACCTGCAGGCAAATAATATATAAAACATCTGTGAGACAGAGTGAGGATCTGTAGAGGAAACTTTGTTTGCATTAGTACAAAAATACGGAAGAGGATTAGGGCCACATGAGAAACGTTTTCTGGATGTTGAGTTCTGATCTTAATCTCAGGATTCTGAGAAATTTCAGAATACTGAGATTTAAAGAAAAAAATGACCCTTTTCCCCCTAAGAATTCTAAGAAAGAAAGTCAGAATTCTGAGATTAAAGTCAAAACTCTTTTTGTTACTATTGGTCACATCCCAAAAATGTTGTCTCATGTAGGCTAGACCTTATCCTCTTCCATACAAAAAACATATATATACAGTAGAGAAAGACTGTGTATATGATTGACTGACAAGAAAGATAATAATTCCAAAACAAAAGGCAATTAAATTGTAACTTAATTTTGATGAAATATTTGTCATGTTTGGATGTTTCTTCTTTAAAGGTGTTATGATGGAGACATCAAAACAGAATCAAACTGATATAATTTTAACATTTCAATGTGAGCATGTTTTAAATAAAAAAACATTTTAAACAGTTATTTAATTGTTCCTTATTAATGAATGACTAATGAATGATAAATAACCTAAAGATACCTTAAATGTGCCCTTAAGATTAATAAAACATATAGAAATCCGATTTTGTCGAATATTCTATCACTTAGGACTATAAGTAATTACATTTTTTATTTCCAATATTTGTATTCAAACAATTAAAGCAGTTTAGGAAACTCGTTCCTAAAGGGCCTGTGTCCTGTCTCTCAGTTCATGATTCATTAATATCTTTTTCAATCCGGCTGCTTTCAGAAATAAAAGTTTGCTTCAAGACAAAAACGTAACTTTTTAAAGCGTTATCGAAAGTGAAACATAATTCTGGACATATTCCGATTTTATGTGAATAACTTCTCCAGCTCTCGACGAAGTTCTAAAGTAGTAGTTAGTTTGAACGGAAATGAGACTCCACAGAGTCGACCCTGAGGATGAAGCAGTACCTGAACATGTTGGTCCACATGGTCTTCACACTTGTCTTTCATGTCTTTTTTTTTTACCAAACTCTTAAACAATTTACCCCCCCCCCCCATCATATATATTCAGCTCACTGCAGCACAGGTAAGCCGTTGTTCTTTCGGAAGCTTCCCCCTTTTACAGCGGTAGTTCTGCCGCACGGCAACAGCCTTTTGATGCTTTCATGTTCGGTCGGAAATGTCGTAATTATCAGGGAGCGATTGATTACGAAACGAAATATTAATATATTATAGTAATGTTGACCATGAGGCTGAAGTTATTTTTAATTTAGTGGTCTAATACAAGCTAAAGTAGTCATTTAGAAGCATGGTTATTTAATGATAAAAACATAAAAAATGATACAAACATAAAACTCCAACATAGCCTATGTCATCTTTAAATAAACCAACAGGCCTACACATATGTCTCTTTTGTGAGTGCGTTTATACTGGTGGTATCTCCAGCAGGGCTTAAAGACTCACACACAATTATTATTTTCGAGATATCAAATATGAGCAGGCGGGCAGCACTTGAAAGCAGCATTATTGAAGACTGTTGCTCCCCCACCCCCCATACTCTCTCTCACACTCACCCTGCGGGCTGGGGGTGGGGGTGTTCTAGGGTGATGAGGAAACGAGTTGATGTGCCCTGGAAGTAATTCTTTCACCCCCCCACCCCAAAAAAACACAAGGTGGGAGAGGACGGGACCACCAGCAGCAGCAGGGCAGCCTCTGCACGTGGGGACCCGGGCTCACATTCCTGCTGCTGGGCTCCGACCCTCCTCCTGCAGCCGCGCCCCCCCCCCGAACGAAAAACATGTAAAGTTAAGGTGATGGCGTTAATTCATGAAATGCACTGCATTCTGTTGTGACTATAAGCTATTATGTACAATTTCATTCAAAGTGTGCAGTCATAAACTTTAAGAAAAGTAGAAAATAAACTTCATTTTAATTGCGGATATAATGTGTTTTTGTATAGGCTACTAGCTGAAATGGAATCAGGTGATTTCTTGTTTTTCCTATTTGATTTCACGGAGGACAACACAAAGCCGAATAAAACAAACTAAACAAATAAAGATAGTTCCGTTAGAAAAAAACGAATATTTTAATTTTTTTAAGTAGCCTATTCTTTTTTATATGTACAACAAAGTAGGCTTTTAAAAATATTCACATAAACATTTTAGGCTATCAAACAGTAGGCTAAATAACGCTGTTTATATTTATGACTATGGGCAACAATACACAAATAATTGAAATATTTAATTGTAATTAGGCCTAATATGTAATACTCTAGCTCCAGGATCGGGAATTACAGAATAAAGTGCTAATGATTGGTATGTGGCACAGGATGTATAGCTGCAGGTGTTAACAGAATGATCAGTGGAGATAAACCAGTAAACTGTCTCTGCTGAGAAAAAAAGAAAAAAAAGAAAAAAGTTTGTGAAAGTCCTGACGTCACACTCCCACAATGCTTACCGCCCCATAACTCCGCTGCAGCCTGAGGGGAGCCAGACACACTCTCAGGCCCCGAATATAGAAAAATTATTGGAAAAAAAATCGAAAAAAATAATAAAAGGCCAGCCCGCGGGGAGGAAAGCACGCGGAGCGGCGGCAGGGCTCTCGTGCGGCGGGTGTCGGTCCGGTCCGGGATGGAAGCTTACCGGGGCTCCATGTGAGCTGACTAATGCTGTGCTGGAAACTTTCTGGTGGGTAAACTGCTCGCCTTCTCTCAGTTAGACTCATAATGTGGCTGCACGTCCCGATGTGTGCATGATTTGCCTTTTAAACAACTTTATACCCACTGTCCCGGCCTGACGCATCGAAGTGCGCCACCGCAGAGTGTTGTGTTGTTACCAGCGGACTTTTGCTTGTTTTTCTGGCAGCGTGGAAGGATCTGGGTATTTAATTTTTAATTTCGCCTCCTCTGCCCCGCGAGGCTCTTTTTGCTCGATAAATGTGTTGCCAGGTCGGATCTGTGGAGTTGTTTGACACGGTGCACTTTGTCCGTTGCCCCCCGGCTGTGGGGGCTGATGTTGGGTTCATGTTTTCAACAATCTGCGGAGTTTTAGGCAATTTCCGAATATTTATCAAGTGTGGCGCATGCAGAGCGGAGTGAGATAGGGGGACGTCCCATTGAGAGGGGAGAGAGGACTGATACAAGTTACTGTCAGTGGTGGGAGAAGGACTCAGATCTTGTACATAAGTAAAAATACAAGTAGGCCTATGTAGGAAAGCTATTTTACAAGTACAATTCCTGCATTCTAAATGTTACTCAACTACAAAAATGTAGCATCAAAATATAGTTAAAGTAAAAGCAGTCATTGTGCAGATTGGTCCATTTCAGAATAATATATATGATATGTTTTATAATGATTGATCATTAAAGTGTTCTCAAAGCTGGTAAAGGTGCAGCTAGTTTGAATGACTTTGTATACTGCAGGGTAGCTTGTGAATTAGGTGTAACTAAAGTCTGATTTAAGACTTGATTATATTTCACATCATTCATCCACACTAACTAAAGGTATTAAATACATGTGGTGGCGTAAAAGTACACCACCTCTGAACTGTACTGGAGTTGAAGTAGGCCTACAAAGTAGGCTAGCATAACATGGAAATACTCAAGTAAAGTACAAGTAACTCAAAATGGTACTTCAGTAGGCCACAGTACTTGAGTAAATGTACGGAGTTACTTCCCCCTCTGGTTTCTGTAATGTGGAAGCTGTTTGTGTGCATCATACTGTGACATGCTCTGAATAAATGAGGACTTCAGTGTGTAATATTCAGCCGTTTACTGATCGCTTATTGTGGCTGTCTGAATGTATCTGTGGCTCATACACTGTCCTTCTACAAGCTTACGGCATTTTTGTCGCAAATCGGATGTTTTTTTGTCTCTTGCCTGCGCGCGCGTGTGTGTGTGTAAGGCAGAGAGAGAGTGTGTGCTTTTCCTTGGAAGCGGGTAAATAACAACCAAGACTCCAGCAAAGGGGGGGTTGGGCTCAGAATGTGGGGGTTCCGTTTATGCACTTGTTATTGATAGCTCCAGGCTTCTACTTTTTACACGTTTGTTGTCAGCAGTGGAAGAAGTATTAACACATTGTTCTGATTCAGATCAGAAGTACCAACACATTGTTCTGATTCAGATCAGAAGTACCAATACATTGTTCTGATTCAGATCAGAAGTACCAATACATTGTTCTGATTCAGATCAGAAGTACCAACACATTGTTCTGATTCAGATCAGAAGTACCAATACATTGTTCTGATTCAGATCAGAAGTACCAATACATTGTCAAAATACTTCATTACAAATAAAAGTCCTGCATTCAAAATCCTATCCAAGTGAAAGTACAAAAGTATCATCAGTAAAATGTACTCAAAGTATAAAAAGTAATCATTGTGCAGAAAAAGGACCTTTATGTTTGTATATAATTATATAAAAAAAGCTCTGATTTAATTTTTGTAAAATATTTAAACAAGTTGACTCTTCTGTGACTTAAAGAGTTAGTCCATTAGTTTAATATTTAGAGATGTATTTTGTTAAAAGAAGCTAAAGTATCAAGCATTAAAAAAGTTAAAATACCTCAACATTTTAATTAAATAGAGTACTTAAGTAAATGTACTTAGTTTATTCCAATCTCTTGTCAGTCAGCAGTGTGGAAAGAATCACAAACTATCGTTTGAAGTTATAAAAACTAACTATTATTCCAACAGATTAATAATGAGTTTACCGGCATCCTAGTTTTTTGTGCTATTGTTTTGTATTATTTTACTATATGGTGACATTTGAGTGTTGTTGTCACAACTTGTCACAGTTAACAACACTACTGTTACTCCTTTCCTGTTCAGCATGGAGCTTTCAGTTCAATTGCACTTAAAGGTAGGGTAGGTCATTCACTTCAGAAACAGTTGTTGTTATATTCCATGGAATGCTCTTAACATCCCGATAGCAATGAATATATTAAATGCTTTGACAATAAATATATACAAATATTTAATCTGTGGAAGCCGTGGCGCTGTGAAAAGCACGACCAATCATTTTAGCCGGCCCGGCTAAAATAACTGGATGGCCTACCTGCCTGTCAGCCTTCCATCTGTACACAAACTTATCTCTTGCCCTCATTGGTCATGTGCGCGTTCGTGTGTGTTGGAGGAGGGGCTCTGTAAGGAAGTCTGAAGGAAGGGGCAGATTTTTTTTGGTTGTGTACTTTCAAATTCTAGCGCACTCGAGCTGGTTTCTCCATTCTTACCTACCCTACCTTTAATGATATCAGCTTGAAGCTAAGCAGACGTCCTGTAGAGCTGCTAAGATCAGTTGACTAATGTTAGTTTATCAAAATATTTTTTTGTTTTGCTATTTTGATCATCAATTAAATGTGAAAGTAAGTTTTCATGCAACAATGTTTTCAGCCTCTCAAATATGGAATATCTTATTAAAGTTAATGTCTTTGTGCTTTGAAATGACAAAACAATTAAAAACAACATTTTCCTCTATTATCTGCTGGACTAAATTATTAATCTGGAAAATAATCTGCAGATAATCTATCATAAACATAGTGGTTAGTTTAGATTTACAGGAGTTACACATGTGGATCTCCACAGCTAAACAGAAGATTAGTGATGCTAATGATTATGTTCATTCTCTAATAATCTGCAAGTTCATTTCTCTATTAGTTAATAAAAGAAAAAAAAACCTTTTTAGATTCCTTAAATCAAAGTTTTAGCTCTTAACTGAACTTGTTTTTTCCTCCTGACAAAATGATGAACTTTTACACAAGACACAGAAAAACAGCATGCCGTCGCTGAGAAGATAAAGGATGTGTTTAGTATGTTCTCTTGGAAAATGACTTGAACTTTCTTAATATTTGCAAATGAATCTCCTGTGGATGAAATCATTGATTTCTACACTCGTATATTTCCACCGGCACTGGCTTCATAGGGTTCTCACATAGCCTTCTGCAAGAAGACAAACATAAACATTATTAGTCTTTCAATTAATAATAATTTAATTAATATTTTAAGATACTGATGTAAAAAAAGCTCTCTTCCTTGTCATTCAATGGATACATAATCTTTATTTAGAAAAAATAGGGATTTAGTGGTAAAAAAGGGCCAATCATGACATCAAGACTGCCATAATATAACAACAGTAATGAAATACATGAATACATGCAGTGCTTAAAGCCTTAAAAGATCCAGATCAATAAAGCCTGATGAGTTTACTCCAGGCTTTTCCCTCCACTTCAACTCAGCGTGTTCCTCAGGGCCTGCAGCTACATAATAAGGAAGTGAGTGTGTCACGAGACAAAGGCTTTGTTGCTGTGCAAGTTGAGACTCATATGTTGATGTTTGCTTCTTTCACTATAACAACCTGATCCACGCTGCAACACATTTCATTTCCTCCAGAGGTTTCTCCAACCTCTGCCACAACAAGTGCGCACACACACACACACACACACACACACACACACACACACACACACACACACACACACACACACTCCAAATATATTTTCAATTATTATAATATAATTATTGATGCATTAATGTGTACTTCACTCCAAGTGCAGACCTGGTTAAAGTGGGTTTTATTAGAATTACATTAAGCGAATCCTATAATAATATTTGATTATATATTCGTTTTTTCATATTTTGTATTAATCACCTAAATCTGAAAAGTAGTAACTAAATAAAGTACAAGTACCCCCATGTTTTACTTAAAGTGGACTTATCATGCTCATGGGCGGCGCCAGGATTTTTTTGCTGCAGTAGCTTAGCAGTTGCTATATGACAGCACGGTGTTGCGAGTTCATTTTCAAAATAAATAAACAAACAATACCAGTGGGCCAAGCACGAGCCTGTTCATATTGTAGCGTTTACCGCTATTCAGGATCACAGATCACGAGCCTTCAATGTCGAAAACGTTCTCTTTATTTTCTGGTATTGACGGCCACAGCCACGCCTTACAGAACCAATCAATAGTATAACACTCATTATGACTTTTCCCCACACTCGAACACAACTCCTACCGTCTCGTACTCCCTACACACACACACCGGAAAACGCACACACACACCTGGAAGGGGCTCCGTTGGAGATCGCGGTCGTTTACGCTGACTTGTAAGAAATCTTTCCATTTTCGATCTGTGTTCACATACTGAGAATTATAACAACATTAGCCAAGTAACAGTTTGCGCTTTAACTTACAACGACCCCTGATAGATCTCGCGAGAATGTGTATAAATATATATAGACAAACAATAACAATGGGGTTGCTAAGCCGTTGCTAGGCCAATTGTTGGAGTTGCTATAGCAACTCCAAGCTACCCCCTGGCGCCGCCCCTGATCATGCTATATTTGAATAATATATTGTAGGGCCATACCTATATAAGGTATATTTATACGTTTTCTTTTTCAAAATACCAAACAGATCATGCATTTTAGCCATGCCTCATTTCGCTCTATTTTGCTCTCCTCCACCCTGTCTTTGCATGCGCTGCAGCTGACCACGCCCCCCCTGCAAAGGAGCGGGCCGAGTTACGAGCGTCGTGTTACCATGCTGTTACCATGCCACGGCAACCTCTCATTCCCCTGATAGGTCAGCTCCTCCGTCCTGACGTCAGAGAAATGTTCAAATCTGGATCAGTCTGTATCAGATCCGTTGCAGCCCCGTTTTTAGAGATTTGGGTATGGAGGAAAAGAGAGAGGG